GGCTGATATATCGATATCGGCCTTTTTTACTCCCTAATATCGGTATCGGTATCGGCCCCAAAAAACCCATAGCAGTCGGGCTCTACTCTGAATGTGTGTAGAGATATTTGAGGAGTTTCAAACACACTCTCTCTAGGTTTATTTTATGTTAAATCACACACTTTCTGTCCCTTTCTGTTCCTTCATGTGTGACAGGTTCAGTCAAAGCACCATTTTTTTTTTTTTAACTGCTTTTCAAATTTACAGAATGGAAAAAAAGCTAAAAATTAGAAAGTACTTTTTTTTTTTTTTTTTAAGAATTAAAAAGTGCATATTTGTAAAAATTAAGTGAGTATGAGCTTAAAACAAGGGGGGGGAAAAATCTGCCGGCACGGTTAGAAAAATAAATGTGTTTCACTTTCAATTAAGTTTTTTTTTTTTTAAGCATAATTAATAACAAATTTGGTTTCATTTTAAAAAGAAGAAAATGAAAATAAATTTATGTAACTTCTGTAGGTGGAGTTTTTCTTATATTTATTTATTTATAAATCTTTTTAAAAACAAACATTATTCTTCACAGTCTGTGGATGCAAAACATTGCAAAAACATTATTTTCTTCCTCTGTAATTTGTCTTGTATTTTTTTTTTCCAATCCAAATATCTAACCATTTTTAAATCAAGACACATTTACTTGGAGGAAAATGCTATAAAAAAATTAAGTCTTCTTTAAAAAAAAAAAAAAAGAAAAATCAACTTAATTCGAAAAGAAAGCAAGTCTATTCTCCACCACTGTGTGTTTGTGCAACCCAAACTTGACTACATTTTATGAGGTGATTTCATATGTTTTTTTTAAATAGTTTAATTAATACAAATACATGATTTTAAGGAAAAACATAAGCATGAAGGTTCAACCCTAAACATAACTGACAGTGGGGCGTAAGCAGATCGTATGAAAAAGTGCAAATGAGATCATACAAATTATTATGAATTAATCACCAATTTGGCAAAATGTAAAATAGTAACGAATCGCCGTTAGACGGTGTTGGCTTGTGTGTTGAATACGGGGACCTGGACGCAGACAGGATCTGCGATCATCTCTAAGTAGATTAGTAAGTGAGAGACGGAGAGAGATTGTCTGGGATTATCCTGTGATATTAAGAGAACATCTTTATTTGCCTGTAAACTCAAACGTGACTTTAATCTGTGGTTTAACACACAGACATCGTGATACAGATCATGTGGGAGGACTGTAGAGACTCGAAACCTGATGAAGACTGAAACCATTCATTTCCTGCAGGGTCACTGCTGCCATCCACACAATCTACATGTTAAATAATGGAGTACAAGTAATACAAGTAATTAACTACCGCACTTGTGTGATTCATTTAAATAGTTTCCTCCCGTAAATGTTGCATCTGAAATGGAAACTCCTACAGATTCATATGCAATAAGGTCAGCCGTAAAAATAACTTGTGTCCACACCTTTTTAGCGCTAAAGTTTCACTGTGTGTCTTTAGTAAATCCTGACAGTAGCCAGTTGTTTATAACAGTAAATCTGGCCCTACTTGTCCTATATTGCAAGCTAGGTTATAAGTTTAAATCTAAGTACAATGAAAATCCTATAAATCCTTGTAAGAGCCGAGAGTGAATATATAGGTTTTTCAAAACATGCATCTTTGGCATTTCTTAAGACTTTTTCAGTTGCATGTGAAGCCAAAGCTGCTGCATAAGTTTTTATATTGTATGAACCTCATAAAATATGATCAAAATTCGGCACGAACGGTTCATAAAACCATTCTTGCTTTCAGTTCAATGCAACAATTTATGTAAGAACTGATTCCTTCTGTTCAGGTTTCCCATCACTTTTTCATGTAATGCATGTACAAAAGTTTGAAATAGTTAAGATTGGTTTTAATGTTTTTGAAAGAAGTCGCTTTCTCGCACCAAGGCTGCATTTATTTGATAAAAAATGCGGTAAAATCAGTAAAATTGTGAAATATTTTTTTGCAATTTCAAATAGCTGTTTTCTATGTCAATATCTGTTAAAATGTAATTTATTTTTGTGATCAAAATTGAATTTTCAGCATCATTACTCCAGTCTTCAGTGTCACATGATCCTTCAGAAATCATTCTAATATGCTGATTTGCTGCTCAAGAAACATTTCTCATTTTTTCATTTTTTGATATTAGAATTAAAATATTTCCAATAATTAAAATGTTGCATATTTATAATTTGCATCCATGCAAACTGCTTTTTACTTCTAAACTGAGACTTTCAGTCGCATAGCACACGAATTTGTCCTTCAAATTTCACATAAAATGTACTTTATGAACAATAAAGCACTGTAGACATCAGTATTGCAGGAAATCTTCAGCAGCAAATGATTCTTTCCTCTACGAAGGACAAAATCACTCCCACAGGTAATTTAATTACAGCAGTAAGTTTCAGTATCTTCAGCCTTTAAAACATGAGCGCTGTTTCCTTTTTGCTTCATAGCAATTCAGAGCTTGGTGGATGCGTGTGTGCTTTTAAAGCTCTGAGGCTTTAGAGTCTATTTGTCAGAGCATTCGGGGGAATTTGTGTGTTTTTTCCGACTGTTGCATATCGAATGATAAAAAAGAACAATGCTGCTCATTAGCTTTTTTAATTAGACGAGCCTTATTACATGGATACCCACCAACAAATGGTAAATAAATAATTATTGACCTCATGCTATTGGACATCTTTATGTCTAATTTTCTCTCTAAATCCCTCTTTCCTACTTCTCCCGCTCTGCTTTATTTCTCCCCAATCTACAATTACGTTCCTCTCTGTCCAACATCTATCCTCTGAAATGATGGCAGGACCTCTAATCGCCAATTATGGTCATTTTCTGTTCAAGGAAGAGCTAAGCTGGTTTCTCTGAATCAAACTTTAGGGTTTATATTGTCGCCAAAATAGAGTAAGCTGAGGCCACATTTCAGTGTGCACTACTGAGGGCCGTTAAAACAAGTAGACAACATAATCAAGCTGATATTATAAACAGCTTATTTTAGACAAATTTTAAGGCACTACTACATAAGACATTCAATCTAGTGGCACAAATGTACTGTTTTCCCCAATATGTGTTATTATTTGCTTATTACAGGATCATGCTGTTAGCTTAACAACATTCGATTTGCATCAAATATTGCTTTTGCATCTCATATAATTCATATCGTGTGTCTCTTTGTGTGGTGTTTGCTAAAAACACTTTTATATGTTCTGCTTTCGGAAACCACACAGGTTTTTTAAACCAATGAAAGCGTAAGACTCACCCAGAGTTGCAAGCTCCAGCACACTGGCCAATAGCAGCACTTGTAAAACCCCCATGGCCCCACCCCTCATTCTGGATTGGCTGGTTCGAGTGTGGCTCCTCCCCTTCCAGCTGATTGGTTAGGTGAGTATGCAATGAGTTCACTCGAGATTTGCAGCTCAGTGGTTCTTTCTGTCCGACAATTATAAAGCCACCTATGAACACAGAAAGAGAAGAAACAGTACTTCTTTAGTGGTCAATCGATGTGGGTTTTTCAACAGTCAATACTGATACACACATAAACGCAAAAGTTGTAATAATTTTGAAATTGTGTTTTTGCCATTATTATAAGTTTTGTTTATATTTATTTTATATGTTATATATATTTTATTTATCCATCCATCCATCCATCTATCCATCTATCCATCTATCCATCTACTATCTACTATCCATCCAGCCATCCATCCATCCCATCTATCTATCCATCCATCTACTATCATCCATCCATCTATCTATCTATCTATCTATCTATCTATCTATCTATCTATCTATCTATCTATC